CCCCTCCCGCCACGCCCTGCCACCTCCAGAACCGCGGTGTGCCCGACGGGGGACCTCGACCGAAACCTCGTACGAGCCGCGTTCGGACGGCCGTACGACCGTCCATACGGCCGTACGTACGGCCGTACGATAGACGCTCCGTACGATGTACGGAGATTAACACAGACGCACACGATTAAAGGCGCCTATTAATCAGAGTACCGTTGCAGCCGCATGAAGAAGAGCGTAGACAAAAGGCGTCGCGCAACAAGAAAAATACTAATACTAAATTCCTAAATTCCTTAATTCCTATTTAATGCGAAGAAGCAAAAACACAAATTCCAGAGGGAAAGTCCGAAATTCCGAGAGCCATCGGGGCTCGACAAAATTCGAAAAAGATTCAAAAGAAAATTCAAAAAGAACGAAGCAAATTCCCGCGCAATGTCCGCGCCCAAAAGTTTGAAACGGAAACAAAAGAAACGATGTCAACATTTTTTTAATCGTGCACACGGTGGCACACCAGCCATCCAGCGGACCAATCAATCAACCGGCCATCCCAGGACACACCCCGCTTCAAACCCAGCCATTCGAAAAGAAGCGACAAAAAAGATGAAAAAGCAAGGATACTGATGCAATCTCCCACCGATCCCGATCTCCCGTAATTGGCCCAACCTTCCCAACTTAGGACCCCTCATTGCAACCGCGCAGAAAGTCGTGCGTTTCAGAAAGTGGTTTTGTCACATACGAGATATTCACAATATTGCAGTTTCTTGATAAAGAAGCCACCGCCAATGCGCCTCGAACCAATCCAAAAGGCGACACCAATAACAATGATATCCTGCAATGCGGCTCTCCTCGCTCACAAAGGACTCTTCGCCTCCAACCTCATGCAATGCAGGTCTCTCGTCAACCCGTCCGACCAAGCTGATCGAACATTGTGCAGATATCGACAGTGTTGAAGTTTCTTGATAAAGAAGCCGCCAACTCACCTCCAACAAATCCAGGTCATTGGTTCAATCCCCCGTGCTGAGAGGGTCGGCTTGCCCCMCCCCCCCGCCCTCTCCCCCCCCCCCTGGTTGGTCTTGGAAGGGGGGCTCGCCCCTTCCATCCTTTCTTTGTGGGTTAGGCCCAACCCTAGAGAAGTAAGGTTGCCTCAAGGTGCTTAGACATGGGTGGAGGCTGCTGCTAAGACATATAGGAAGGTAGGTAGCATGAGGTATAATTGAGAGCAGAATATAGCTCTGTTTTTCAAAACTAAACCAAACGAAAAAATAACATCCTCCCAATTTTGGCCTCCCATCAACCAGGCTATCTCTACTCTCTCACCACATCCTATCCGCTGACCTACTCTCGCCTACTCTCCATCCTGATCATGTCCAAAGACTCCAAATCCCGTACAGTACACTGCAGCTCAAATAATGTACAATGCTTGAGCTCATGGCGACCACCAGGTATGTTGCTCGCCTACTCTCCTCTCCCCACGGCTCTCCTCTCCCTCGAAGGACTCTCCCCCTCCTTGCAACTACTCTCTAACTATTTCTTCAAGCACGCAGGCGGGTTGGTTGACACCCAGCTATGGCTGGCAACAATCTCTCTTCATTGCCACTGCCTGACCCTGACTGCTGCTGCTGCCGCTGCATTCGGGCTTAGGCAGCATTCTTTTCTTTTTTTTAAACCGCCTCCACCGGTGTTAGTGTTGTTGTAGTCATTTCCTAAAGTAGCTCCAATTTTTTGAGACAAAACAAAACCAGGTGGAGTGGGAAAGGAGATCGTGGGATATCACGCGTCCTACTAGTGAGGGGGCTAGCTGGTAGGATGGGAATAGGGCATAGCAGCAGCGGAGATGGTGGCTCTGCGGCAGTAAGTCTTGCCCGAGTAAGGTAAAGTGTGTGACGCGCAACCTCACGCCCTGTGCTGTCTTTCGTTCGGAGTGCTAAAGGTGCGGAAAGAAGGCCCTGGAAAACAGTGAGATGGGGTGTGCCAAGGATTTTTGGAAAATTGAGTATGGGGACACAGACAGAACTGGAATCCCCCGTGTTGGCCCGATGAAGTAAGTCGGTCGCTTTAGCGCATCGCAGGATGCACGCGCGGGCACGACGCGAAAAGAGAAAGATCCAATTTCAATCCAAAAAGTATTGTCGAGCTTCCCACCGCGCTCCGGATCGCGGAAGGGCTTCGGTACACTCCGCGTATCCCGTTTCCGTATCAGGACCCGACGTCGCTCGTTGGTCAGTTCCGAGTCTGACGTGGATGGTCTCAACCGCGTGGCTCTTTCCTTGTGCTCGTCCTCACTCCGTATCCGGTAGTGGAAACCCTTCGATTCGTAGCGATCGAAACGAGGCATTCTATGCACAGCGTTCGAGGCCAATGGGGGGCTACTGCCGTCCACGGAATGACGATCAGCTCGTTAAATGACAACAATACTGAGTAGGGTGGGAAGTGCGTATCGGTAATGACAAAGCCCGCATCCATGAACCCGGAACAATGATTTTCAGGAGGGAAGTAATATTGTCCGCCGATCCGTGCAACAGCTTCTCGTACGTCCCACTCACACACGCGGATCCTTTCCTCGTTGTAGGGAAAGGGGCACATCGGCGAGGGAGATACGGAAGGCTGGCGCCTGACCGAGGAACGACCGTTAGTCCACATATCAATCAATCAAACGGACTTTGTACGTCATCAAAAAACACAATCGAAAAATATCTAATGAGTATCTTCCTTCCTTGGAACCCACACAATCATGCATTAATTGGGTTGGGGTTCCGAGAGACTAAC